TTGATTTCCTGTAGCATGTGTCTTTGATCTGCTGAATTAACAAATGTGTTAAGAAACACATGCAGAGTCCAGAAGTCCTCATTCTTTTTTCTTTTTACTGGTGGGACTGTGATTTGAACTCAAGGCTTCACACTTGCAAAGCAGGTACTCTACAGCTTGAGCCACACCTCCAGTCCATTTTGCTCTGGTTATTTTGGAGATGGGGGTCTCTCAAACTATTTCCCCGGGCTGGCCTCGAACCACAATTCTCCTAATCTCAGACTCCCAAGTAATTAAGATTACAGGTGTGAGCCACCCATGTAGAAATCCTCACTCTTAAAGAAAGCAGATCCAGAGACCACTCGAGCATCATGTCTCCAGCCTCTTCCCATCAGACCTCTGGGCACCTCAGGACCCCCCCAGACAAGAGGGGATGTTGGGGACTTACTTTTTCAGATGCGCTTGCTAGTTTGGAGCCTGAGGAGTTGAAGGTGATGGCGGCTAGTGTCCCCTCATGAGCAGCGATGGTGCAGACAGTTTTCTGTCAGTGCGAAGAAGAAATGGATGTTGATGCTGGGGCAGAGAGAAGGTGGATTGCATCTCCTTTTCCTTCCTTCTCCTTCATTTTCTGGGTTCCCTTTTCTTCTCTCACCACCATGCATTTGCATATAAGCTGGGTCACCTTTTTGGGTGTATCAATTCAGTTTCAAGGGCTCCCTCATTTCTACCCCATATCCCGCCCTTGGGAAGGTGGACAGCACTTGTGTGCCTGATATAGAGTGATGCCGCCATGGGCTCTCGTTGCTTGCCTCTTCAGGAGACTTGCCAGAGCCATCCTACCTTGGAGAGCACAGTGCAGGGAACATGGGCAGCTGCATACTGTCCCAGGCCACAAGTGGGCCCAGTGTGACCCATTCAATCAGACAATTGGCCACTGGCCAGCAAAGTGATTCCATTCTGCCACAGATGTCCTGCCTAGGTCAGGCACCTACCTCACAGTGATTTTGATTAATGGTATGCCCAAGGGCAAATGTCATTACTTTCTCCTCCACCCAACCATGGTGGCCAGAAACCTCCCTTTCATATCTCACACTATCACAACATTCACCATAAAGCTAAAGCAAGAGCACTGGGTGTTTGAGGACCGCTGTCAACTTACCAGGGAGTTTCCATCATAAAGCACAATTTCACCTGTAGTCAGGCTCCCAGGATAGGCCAGGTAAGAATTGGAATGGTTGATAGAGAGGGCACACAGACCTGGCAAAGAACAAATGAAATGAAAAGCCAGCCCCTAAAGCAGAGAAAATTGCCTGGGTGGAGTGGGTACCTGAAAACAGTGCAGCCAGAGTGCCACCTACTGGCGAAGGGAGGAATGGCTTTGAGGCATTTACGTTGTGTTGGATATTCTAATCAAAGAATTACAATAAAGAAAATTCACAGGGAAAGACTTCCTGATTTAACACTATCCATGTCCTCTTCACAGCTGAACAATCAGAATGTCGAACATTAAGAATGCTCTTCTTCACATTTTTACCCCGGGGCTCTGAAACAGCATCTACTTCTCTTCCAATTCCATTACACTCTAGGGCTACACTTGAATTTACTCATAACTGACATAGAACTTTCTATTAGGAAAAGTCAGTCTGTGCTAGCCTTTCTGTGAGCGATTAATTATAGCTGACACATAAGCACAAACTGGAGGGCAGGAAAAGCAAAGGGCCTATGTAGAAATTGCTCATTTCTGGAAGGAATGTCGTGCTTTGACAAGGAAAATGGGCGCCCATACAAATGGAAGCTCACTGGCAGTCCATGCCTTTGAAACAAAGCACACAGTACACTTTGGATTTAAGATACTTTGACAATCGTCTGGAGGTGTAAATAGCCAGCCATTGAAGTGGCATAATCCATATTAGCTTACAAGGGAATTGGAGGATGAGGGTCTCTATAGCACTGAAGTAAAGGCTTTACACAATAACTTAGATTAAGAGAGTCATACGTGGTAGCCGTGAATTCAGAGAATTCCATAGAACCAAAGCATTACTAGAGTAGAAACTTTGAGAAGATTATGCAGGATAGATATCTTTGTTACGAGTTAGTATGTTAACTGGATTTCTTATAAAACTATAGGAAAAACTCTAGGTCATGCTGAAAGTTTCCTTGCCTAATCTGCAGGGTAGAAAAGCAGAGAATAAAAAAATGGGCATTAAGAATTAAAAGTAGGTCCTGTTTCCTGCTTGGCTTTGTTGAGTGCACAGCTGTATCTGTGCTCTTATCACTTGCCACGCAGAACTCCAGGAAGGCTGTAGCTGAGCCCTGGTACCCTTCACCGTAAGTTCTGGCATTAGCGTAACCCCTTCCTGGCCCTGGCCTTAGGAGAGGACAGTCATGCCTTCTCAGTTTTGCTCTGGAATCCCCAATTCCCAGTCCCATCTGAGTTCTTTCCATCCGAATGTAATTTCAAGGGCAACTAGGTAGATACAAGTCACTCTGACCCTGGAAAACTGTGGGGGGAAGGCATTCAGGAGATGGCATGGCCTTGCCTGGTGGGTTCCTATAGGAGCAGTGACAAAAGAGAAGTTAAGGTAGAAGGTGTAGGCTGTATGTGGTGGCACACACCTATATCCCACTTATGTTGGAGGTGGAGGTAGGAAGATCATGGTCTGAGGCCAGCCTCTGGCCAAAAGGCTTGAGGCCCTCTCTGAAAAATAAACAAAAAACAAAGGGCTGGGCACTGGTGGCTCACACCTGTAATCCTAGCTACTTGGGAGCCTAAGATAGGGAGGATTGCAGTTCCAGAGCAGCCTGGGCAAAAAGTTAGCAAGACCCCATCTCAATCAATAGTTGGGCACAGTGGCATGAGCCTGTCATCCAGCAATGGGAGGAAGCATAAAATAGGAGGACTGTGATCCAGGCTGGCCTGGGAAAAAAGTGAGACCCTGTCTCCAAAATAATCAGAGCGAAAAGGGCTCAAGTGGTAGAATGCCTGCCTAGCACCTGAGTTCAATCTCTAGTACTACCAAAAAAAAAAAAAAAAAAACAAAACTGTAGAAGGACTTGAGTAGCAGACTGAAGAGTTAAGATCTTACAGATGGAGTGGGTAATGACACATAATGGTGAGGAGATGGAGAAAGTGAATGCCTGTACACATCTGGAGAGAATGGAAATTGAGGCAGTGCCTTGGAAAGTAGTTCCTCAAAAATTAAACATGGGGTGACAATATGACTCAGAAATCCAACTCCTATATATACATATCCAACAGCAGCTATTAAAGCACATGTCCACACAAAAATGTGCAGCTTACTGTTTATAGCAGCATTATTTATTAGGGTCAAAAATGGACAAAGAAAATGTGGCATATCATTATAATAGCATATTATTTGGCAGTAAAAAGGAAGGGCATACTGATACATGCTACAATACGGATGAACCTTGGAAACATTGAGTGACAGAAGTCAGTTAGAGAAGACCACATATTATAGAATTCACTGACATGAAATGTCCCCAAGCAGATAAATTTAGAGAGACATAAATTAGATCCAGAGTTGCTTAGAGCTGGGGGAATAAATCCTGATAGATAAGAGCTACGGGGTTCTTTTTGGCAGGTAATGGAAATGTTCTAAAATTAATTGTGATGATGGTTCACAATTCTGTGAATTATATTAAAAGTTGTTGAATTATTCACTTTAAAAGTTATTGAACTCTATGGCATGTGAATTATATCTCAATAAAAAAAAATAAAGGCAGAGTTTTAAGATTATTTATCTAGCAGAGACCTGGTTCCAGATATCCCATCTAGTGTGCCACTCTGGCCCTGTTTCCCACCTGAAACAAAAGTATCAAGGTCTTTCTAGCTTTGACATTCCAAGGGGCCAAGCTTTCATTAGTAACTTCTTCCTTCTGAAAATATGGAGCATATCCTTGAGCCAAAGAGAGTCTTAAGTCGAAGCCCCGAACAAACACTTCCAGGTGTCCTTCAGAGTTTTAAATTAAGATATAAATACCCCAGGAAGGAAGAAAAGCTTAAACATTTTTGGCTAACTGAACTTTCTGTCATACCTAATTTAGAATGAGATGATACAAGGTTCTAACAAGAAAGAGACAAAGGCTAACAGTAGGGCAGGTATACTGTGACATATACCACTTATTTGACAGGTTTGCCTCTGGGCTTACACCTGTGCCAATTCATCTGACTTAGCAGAGGAATCCTGCACAGGCCTTTGCAGACTTAACGAAGGTTCCAGAAACACTTCACATGAGTTCCTTGCATTTTCCATGGTCCATGTCTCAGAAGATTCCACCAGCTACATGAATGTGTTTCTCTCTTGTGAAGCACCGGAGGCAAGTAGAGGCCTTGCTTCAGGCTTAGCAATTACCATTCTACAACTTTCTGTTCTTGTCACGGTGTCACATAAAGTCTTTTTTAGGAACAAATGGGCTATTTCTTTTATATTATTTTATAATAGAAAAGTGATGGTGTAGCAAATTTGCAAAGCCCAGAATACACAGAGAAAGAGGGGAAAATCACACACAGTTCTAAAACTCAGAGGCTTTTTTTTCTCCTCTCAGCATTAAGCATATTTTCTTCCAGTTGTTTTTCTGTGTTGGAATGAGGTTTTGATATGACTTCTGAACTTATTTTAGACTTGACATGCATTTTTGTAAATCACCATCAGCTGTCATTTCACTAAAATTATTTGGCTATAATTCTTCCATAGCTGGAAAAGAAGGGCCTGCTATTAATTTAAGAATAAATGGCCATGCCAGCTGGAATTAGAAGTCAGGTGATTCTCAATCATTCACACTTTGGTATTTATAATATTGCATGTCAAACATTAGGCAACTTAGAGCAAACTGATTTATAAAACGCAGTGTCCTCTGAGTTGATTAATGTCTCAAAAGGCATGTTTCAGGGCTGGGGAGGTACCTTACTGGTATAGTCTCTGCTAAGCATGCACATGGTTTGATGCTCTGGGTTTGATCCCCAGCACCTCACACATCCAGAATGCTTTCCAATTTCCAAAAACAGAAAGGAGAGAAATCTCTTGGGTGCTGCACATGTTCTACGCTACTGTGAAGGGAAGCTGTTTCCACCAGCTGTGTTTTGTTTCCTCCTTTTGCAGAAAGTGGACTTGCTGGGGAAACCATGGCTCTGCTCTACAATTGTGCTGCTGTGTGACGTAGAATGCTCCTTCCAGACTCTGTAAAAGATGGGCAGGTTTGTGACCCCTGGCCACCCTGAGTTCTGCCGTTGGCAATTCCATCATGGAGATTTCCACCTTTCTCTGCTCAGGGCACACTACTGCTGTGCCAGCAGGAAATTAACTTTGAGCCCCGATGGCCAAACTCTTTAAAGGAAACAGTCTGCAATCTTTGACACAACAGGAATGGGCAGGACACAGACAGAGACAGAAGGAAGGAAATTTAGAGCTACATTAGACACTGAGCATGGAGCAACAGGGGAACTCCAATATCTAGCTAGTGTGTAGTTCACTAGGTCGAAACACACTCAGAATTTGCGTGCTAAAGCCAATGAAACAAATAATTCTGTTTTCCCTGTGTCCCCAGGAAGGATTTCTAAAATCAACTGCCAGCATTTCCATCTGACATTTTTGTTCAGAAAATAGAGAACTGAAAACATAGAGGACAGTCTTGGCCTCTGAGGGTTTTACACTCATGGTTTTGACAGCCCAGAGTCCTCTGAAGGCTCTCAAGTGAGGAAGAGACCACGTCACTGAATAGGGCTTCCCCATGGGGCACAGGGGACTAGTGAGCGGGCCCAGCTGACTATGAGTGTGGACAGAGTGACACCTTCCTTGGCTCACTCATGCATGACTTCAGCTAACCCTCCCTGCACAATGCTGCATGATAAAAACGACCATCTCATTTTACTGCTGTAGACAGGGATCTCACTAGCAGCTGAGGTGATAATTATAAATGTGGGATTTGGAAAGGTTGGGGGCTATTGCTCCAAAGAATATCAGTGATTTAAAGGACAATTTGGTCAATCTATCTCTGGTCTTTCTGAAGGAAATGCTCAGTACATCCCTGGATCCTTTCATAATGTTTATCTCAGATCAAGAAAATGCATCCCACTGCTTCTAATTTTTCTTGACATAAAAATTATTCCCTTTGATTAAGGGTACAAATAGATCCATACTTTTCACCCTTATTTTCTCTGTTTTTGCCTCACTGAAAAAAATGAGGCAGTCAATGAGTTTTCTGGGCTGAAGAGAAACAACTATCATTATAGACTTCATGACATTTCAGCCAATGGTGGACCACAGACATGACGGTGTACACCATACAGCCTAGGTATGCATCAGGCTATACTACCTAGGGTTGTGTAAGGATACTATGAAGTTTACACAATGATGAAATTGCTTGACGTTGCATTTCTCGGAACTCATCCCTGTCATTCAGGGACATGTGACTGTATATCTAATTTAAAATAAGGGCAAATGGGGAGCAACTCCCTTCTAGAGAGGGGAGCATGCCTCAGTGCCAAAGAAGCCATGTCCTCCAGCCTAAACAGCCAAGTGCAAGACAGGTGTGAGGCAGGAAACAGACTGCCTGTGGGAAACTCCGCTCTATTCAAAGAAACTGAGAGCCAGGGCAGCTTTCAACTTTCTGCATGGCTGCCTGTCCCTCCCCATATCCAGAAAGACACAGCTCAGGCCCACCCCCTTCAGGAGCTCTGCCCATCAGAAGAGCATCTCTTACTGCCCACACTCAAAGTTAAATGCCAATCCCACCCCTACCACAGGCTGCCAGGCCTGTCTCTTACTGATCCAGAATGGAACAGCTCAGGGAACTGGGGCCGCTTGAGTACTGGGTTCCTGATGAGCAGTTGCTGTATCTGTACTTCTTGGCACCTACTGGTGCCTCCCAGCACACTATGGATCTGCAAGAAATGCTTCTCTAGATTGTTTTAAACCTTCATTTCTAAAACAAAAACTACCACAACTTCTTCCCTTGCCGCCTTTCCCTTTGAGAAATATATTTTAAGACATTATCTCAAAGAACTTTATAATGGCCTCAAGGTTATAAAGGGGCTGGGGGAGCAGCTTGGCGGTAGAATATATGCTTAGCACATGAGGTCCTGGGTTCAGTCTCCAGCAACACACACACACACACAGACACACACCACACACACACACACACACACAGACACAACTCTGAAATGAACAGCTGAGGGCCATCTATATCACTGAAATGAAGAAGAGGACATGAGGCACACGAAGTATTTACTACATGGAAGACCTTGTGTTGGTCACATTCTTTCATAAACATTAGCTGGTTAAATGCTTAGCTGTTGCTGTGAGATGACTGTTACTATCTCATGTTACAAATAAGGAAACTGAGGCTCAAAAGTGTATGTCACCTGTGTGGAGCCACACAGATTGAAACTCCATAAAAGTCAAAGAAATGGGAAACTATAGTAAATGGCAATAGTCATTTAAAGTTACTGAGTGGTATACAATTTATAAATATTAACCTGAATCACTAGATACACAAATCACCTTGGTGTGACAACTTCCCGGCTCACCCCACAATGAAGGGATTCTTTCTTTGTACACTTTTGGCTTAATGAGTTCATAAAATGTCATCTTCTGCTATCTCAATCTAACAAATCCAAACTATTCCCATTCTCAAACACCACAAGTATATTAAAGTGTTAAATCCTGAGAATTAGTCAAGTCCAACATCCTAGAATCTCACCCAAGTTGAGAGATTTCTTTATATTGTAATAAAACACATTCCTTATGGTTCAGATTGTCTCTCTTGGCCATGTAGACATACCAAGTCAAAACCTGCTTCTAGTTATTACACCTACTCTGTACGAACAACCACAAAGTGTTAGGGGTAAACACCTTTCAACATCAGACACATGGACTCTCCCACGCATTTACCTTGCATGCCTCGGACCATTTGCTAACATGGGTCCCAGAGGAAAAGTGCTGCTCTTGGGCTACAGTGTAGACCACACAGCCCTCCTGCAAAGCAAACAGCCTGATACAATTTGAATGTGCCACCATGAAACCAGAGCTTCAAGATAAAACACCACTAAGACTTACAAAACATACACACTGCTCAGACTTTCAGTCTAAGTGGAAATACAGCTTGGGAAAGAAGTTTCTGGACTTGGGGTGGAGTCATGGGTTACATGGTTGGAGTTTACCTGTTGGGTTTGCAGGAATATCCAAGAGGGTCTTCAACAGCTTCATATCTTTAATGTTGTGGATATAAATGGACTCCTCCAGGCAGACCAGCAGCCTCTGTAACCACACAGACTCATCAGTCTCTTGAACAGATTCCTTGAAAAGGGACCCACCAAATCCAACTCGCTCATCTTTCACGAGTACTAACTTGATTCTATGCCTAAAGGAGAAAGAATTTTAATGATGCCTTTTGAGGATTATGTTTATGTATGCACACACACATAATTATCTACTTGATGATGTTTAAAATACAAGATCTTAAGAAATTTTTAGAAACTGAGATTCCTTTCCCTCCCTCCCTCCCTCCCCCTCCTTTCCTCCCTTCCTCCCTTTCTTCCTTCCTCCCTCCCTTCCTTCTTTCCTTTTCTGTCTTCCTCCCTCTCTTCTTTCTATTCTCACCTGACAGGCTGCCTTTCAATGCTAGGAACAGAACTCTTCCTCTTATACAAAAATGGGTTTCTTTGCATTCTCTATAGTGCCAAATCTTAGGTTTTTACCCCTCTCTAAATACAGATTGAGCACCCCTAACTCAAAATTCAAAACGCTCTGGGAGTGTGAGCATCAGCACTCAAAACCTTTCAGATTTTTGGATTTCCAGATTAGGTATGCAAAACTGGCAAAATTGATGCAAATTCTGAAAAACGCTGAAGTGTGAAACACTTCTGGTCCCAACCATTTCGGAAGAGGGATATCCAGCCTCTGATTACCAGTTTTACCTTCTTTTCAGGCAAAACTCCTTTGGACACACCTCTGTGCCACTCCTGCAGCCCTGGTAAAGGGAGGAGCTAATGAAGCCCTTCAGCCCTCATGCTGACACTCATACCAGGGCCCCAGTCTCTGACATGCACCTCCCCTGGGCTCGGTGCCTCTCTTAGTGCTCTCCCACCCCAGCGCCATCAGACCCCTTGTCCTCTTAAGCTGAAAGCTTGCCAGGCTCAGAGCTTCTTCCCATGTGATGCTCTGTGTTTAAAGGGTGTAATGCAGAGCCTGGGACAAGTGTCAGTGTTGGTACAGACACAGAGCTGTTAGGAAGGCATTTGTGATTGGACAGCTTGTTCAACAATATGAGCAGCTGCCTCCACCCCTGCTCAGGCCTGACTGCCACTCCCCCCCTACCCCCAGGCTACCACTTCTCAGGCTTGGATGAGCACAGATTCCCTGAAGGAGCAACACCTGAACTCTCTCCTGAGATTCTGGTTTGGGGCATCTTTCAACAGCACCCCAGGGAATTATTATGCACACCAAGGTTTGAGAACCACTATTTCAGCCAGTTTGATTCCAAAGAACATCAATTAGAAGGGAAGATACCTAAAAATATTACACAAAAATGGCCAAGTTTCCTCCAGGAAAAGCTTCTTCATAGCTCAGAAAAATACAGACTATCCACCTTAACCAGGTTAAAAAAGAAAGTTGGAACACCTCTCTCTCTTTCTCTTTCTCTCGGTGGGTGGTAGTGGGGGTTGAACTCAGGGCCTCATGCTTGCTAGGCAGGCACTCTACCACTTGAGTCACTCTTTTGCATTGGTTATTTTTGAGATAGGTCTTTGTTTTATGCCCATGCTGGCCTGGACTGTGATCCTATTTGTGCTTCCTTCCTTGCATAGCTGGGGATGACAGATGCACACTACCACGCTCAGCCCTGGTTGAGATCTGGTCTTGGGAACTATTTGCCCAGGCTGGCCTCCAACTGCCATCCTTCCAATCTCAGCCTCCCAAGTAGCTAGGATTATAGGTATGAGCCACCACACCCAGTCCACGTTTCTCTATTTTAACTAAGGCTCTGTGGCCACAGGTCTGAGACTGGGTGCTAAGAGGTTTAAAAAAATTCTAAGAGGGTCTCAAAATTAATGATAGTTATTCTGATTTACCTGAATGCTTTTGCCTTTTGCCAGCATGTGACATGATGTTGACAATCTTATTCTATGCTTGTTTCTGTTCTGAGGCTTCTGATGTCCTCTGCTTTCCCCTTCAGCCCTGTACTGGATCCTTAGGACACGGGGTCCCAACATGTGCCCCTTGCAGGAAGCTCAGTTTCTCTGTCTCTTCTGATCTGATTTGCATCGCTTCCCACTGGCTCTAACAGCCCCATCTGCTCTGTGGCCCACTGAGCTGAGTATGAGGTCACTCCTATACTAGCAGCAGATGAGAATAAAATGGGAGGGAAACAGAAACACCAGGAGGGAATGAGGAGGCACTTGAACTTGGTTCCCGCGAGAACTTTCTTTGGGATAACAACTTGATAACTGCTTTGTTAACAACCAGTCTGCAGTCTTAGCAGAACCTCAGCCTTGCGTTCAACTCGACCCATTCCCAGTCACCCTGACATCATCTTTCCTATGTTTTACAGGTAATCACTCCTTTTTTTAAAAAAAAAAAAATCAATTTAAAAAATTTATAGCATCTGCCCTTGAACAGCAAAAATTTAGCCTCAAAGTCTTCTTCATCTAATCGGCTTGCAGTTGGATAACAGTGAGCAGCTTGTGAACAAACTATAAAATTTAACATATCAAAATACATCTGTTTTATTGCCTTTATCCCACCAAATGAGCTTCTGAATTAAATACAAGGGGAACAGCATTAACTAAAAATGAGACACACTGCAATTTCTAAGTATTTTTTCCTTTGTGCATTTGTAGAGGAAGAATGGGAATTTTGTTTTCTTATAACTCCATATACAAATGTTTAATTTTTTCCTGTTTTTAAAAACGGACAGGCTGCACTTGAAGACCTAATGATGTAGCAGGCAGACCACTACAGACCGGGGCACACCCTGCACCCCCTCTTTGTTTTCCCTGGGCAGGTGGCTGTGTGGGTACTACAGGACCCTCCCCCATCCTGGCAAGGACCACCTGGGGCAGCTAAGTTACCTAAACCAAAAATTATGTCTCAAACCTGAAAATTTTAAGAAAAGCAAACCCCAAACACTTTCCAAGTGCTCGAAGTCATTTTCTCAGGCTAGAAAATGCTTAAAGGAAGGAAGAGCTGTTAGCTGTGCTTGCCATTAGCTTTGATGTTGATTGCTGAGCAGTGCTGGGTGCCTTCTAGTTCACTAGAAGATGGGGGAGGGGCAAGAAGCTGAAGTTAATGAGTGTTCTATTGAGAGGAGACTGGTGCCTAAAGGTTAACAGACTCAGACACTTGAATGATTCAATAGATACATTGGAGGGTTTTGATCTTTATAGAATATTTGACTAAGCAGTCTCAAAAAAATAATAGGGTGCCAAAATACCCCTGAATTTTTATATACTAGCCACTAAGATGTGCAAAAATAAAAACTTTTGCAACCGAACTTAATATGCCACCAACAGATCTCAGAGAAAGCACTTGAACCAAGAATTCTGCTTAAAGTCTTTAAGTAAAAGATTTTCAAACTGCCTTTCCTTCCCCTGCCATGAACCCAGACTTCTTTTCTTCCTTATGCCTGCTTCTTCTCACTGAAAACTCCATCTTCTATTTCTCAGGACATTTTCTGTTGACTTTACTGGACACTCAATCAAAATACGTGGTTGACTCAAAGCCATAATCCCTTCCTTCAGAAACTTAAAGCACTTTACTTGTCTTGCTAAAAAATTAAATTAATTAGCACTTAATTGTTAAGAAAGAAAGAAAAAAACCACTGTATTCAGTGACTGCAATGTCTTCATCTTCCTGGGACTGCTTAACGGAACAGATATCTCTGCATGTCACACAATGAGTCTCTTGGTTTATTTATTTATTTAATAGTCAGGAAACAGATACTCATCAGCAGGTCTTACAGTGAACAAAACTGCTACAGCCCCTGCTCTCACAGGATATGAAATCCAGTCATTTCGGGGGAAATCTGCTAATACTGCCAATGTTTATTTCATGAGAGTTTGTATTTTTAAAGAGATTATATTTCATATTTGAGATAAGAATAATGGTTCAACAAATAAAACACTACAGGAAAACAACTTTAAGGATTAGCTGGAAAAAAAAAATGGAAGCAAGAGACTGCTGGGAAGGCCAGTAAGAGGACAGTAGAAGGGCAGGTCTACTGACCAGCTTCAGAACCAACTCAGAAGGACCACAGGCATCTCATTCCCATATACATGACTGCCATCTGCAATGAAGGCCACTGCCTAGGACCAAAACTGGAAGAGGTGCTCCTCTTGTTCAAGGTGTCCTACGGTAGGTAGCTCATGAAACAGACCAGAGTCGGAGTTCTGAACCATCCTCGCTGATACCCAGCCTGCCACAGGGGAAGAAGGTGCACCTGGCCAGCTAGTGGCCAACACCAGACAGCAAACATGAGGCAGTATGACCAGGGAAGACATCACTAAAATAAGTGATTTTACATGGAGCAAGTGCTCTTTATACCACCCCCACAATAGTAGGCCTATAAGTTAAAATCCTCTTCAGCATTTGATGCTTGCTTTAAAGACATTTATCTTTAAAGATGTTCATCTATTTCTTCAGCTCCAGTTAGCAGAAGCCTCAAAGCCCTAAGGGATCTCACCTACTCACCTGCCTGTTCAGCCTTATGGACAAGATGTTGCTGGAGTAGCTATAATTACAGATCTCTGTGCCTTTCTTGAAGTGATATACATTCATCTGCCGTGGTTTGGTGTGGCTGACCACCACCACCAGGCTGCTGGAGAAGAGGCGCTCCACGATGTACACATCAGGGATTTCATCTGAGGGAAAGCAGCAATGAAGTTACATGGAAGGCCCACTATGGGGGAAGGATTTTAGCCTCTGTGACACCAGGCACAGCACATGCAAGTTCATGAATGGACTTTGAATCTTGCTGACTAGGTACCCTCCATTAGCATGTATTTACAGTGACACCCCACCACCCTGGACATCGGGGAGTTGAAGTCCTTCCCAAATAGCTAAAGCAAAAAAGATGTTAGTGATTAGGATGCACTGTCAAGATCCCCAGAGCAACCAGACCCTGTGTGCATGGAGGAATCACCCCTCCAGCTGGAGGGCTCCACTGTTTGCTCTGTACAATACATTCAGAAGGTTTGGACAATTTCAACATACCCTTGTCCTGTGAGAGATTTCAAAGGAGTGATTACTCCATTGGGAGCCCCTGTATTCAGAACTCTTGCTCTGTTAAAGGTGTACAAATTTGAGGAAAGAAATACATTAAGTCTGTGCTTCCCCTACCCCATCTTACTATGCTCCTGGCCCTGTCTGGTATCTTCTTCCTGTCGAAGATATTTGAACATCAGCACTGAGGCCAGGAGGGCACTTCTGCACTCAGGAGGAAGACACATTAGTACAGAGCACACACAGGCAAGGCTTCAGTGTCTTTCTGAGACCATCTGTCACACATGTGCCTTGCCTGTGCTTGGGTAAGTGCCATAGGGAATAACATGGGACAGATATAGAGTAAATTATTTACAAAAATAGTATTATAATAATAATAACATCTTATAAATAAATTAGAAGCCCCAAAGTATTATTCCAAGCCACTTTCTTTCCAGGAAACTCAAAGTTTGTATATTATTTATTATTATAATGGCATAAACTATTTTACCCTGAGAAAATCAGAGTCATATTTCCAAACTGAATTTTTCTTTTATTTTACTTTGCTGGGGTTTGAACTCAGGGCCTAGGGCTTCTAGGCAGGTGTTCTACCACTTGAGCCATGCTTCTTGCTCCTTTTTGCTTTAGCTGTTTTTCAGATAGGGTCTCACACTTTTTCCCAGTGTCAATGGACAGTGATCATCCTACCTCTGTCTCCTGCATAGCTGGCATGTGCCACCATGCCTGGCTTATTTATTGAGATATGGTCTCATTAACTTTTTGCCCATGCTGGCCTCAAACCTTGATCCATCTCTGCCTCCCAAGTAGCTGGGATTACACATGTGAACCTGCAGCCAGCTAAGCTTAATTATTTTTCAACATGCACTAGAAACACTTTAACATCTTCAATACAGGCTATATAAATAGAATAGCATTGCTTTATTAAAACAAAGAAAATACTTCCTTGACTGAACAAATGGTATCAATATTCTACAGTGCCAGCAGAATGACAAAAAGAAGTCATGAGTGACCTTTTGGTTTGACAATTATAAAACTGATCACTGGGTATACATATATAAGGAAGAGTATCAAACAATATAATTTCAAATAACCTAAGTTATTGCCAAATTTTAATAACAGCTTCAGTGTGGTTTTTATGCAAGTAGAGACAATTTCTCAAACCTGAAAAACACTAACTCCTTAAGTTTGATGGTTAAGGGAGAGAAAAATCAGAACATTCAAATTAAAGTCTAGGGCTGGGGGTGTGGCTCAGTGGTAGAGCATTTGGCTAGCACATTCAATACCCTGTGTACAATCTCCACCCCCACCCACTCACAAAGATTAAAAGTCTAGAGGGGGGATTTAGTGTCCTGGAGACCCACCGTCTTCCCTACCCCCACACACTTACTGCTTCCATGGACTTGGTCCAGTTGCTCCACAGAACTCAAAGAAAACAGCTTGTAACCGGCTTTGGTTCCAATTGCTAGGGATCTGTGGAAGATAATGATGGCATGGTATTGACACCAGGTACTGCATCCCAACCACAGGTCTGTCTGAAAATAGATTCCTCCCTCCCACCCCTCGCCCCAGGCTTATAAGGGATAGGTAAACACATCTTCAGGCGCTTAGATCCTTGATAACTTCCTAAATGGTGAAGCATGCTTGGCAGGCAGGCAGGTTCCATAAAAGGAAAAGTTGAACAACAACAACCAAAACAAAGAAAATGGTGAAGAGACAGAAACTTAGCCATGGATTCCGTCATCAGGCAAAATGTCAAACCAACCAGAGTTCATGTTTTCCCAGCTGTGCAAAGTATAGGAAAATGGAAAGATTAAGAACACTCACAACAGCCCCACCTCAAACACAACCAGGAGGTCTTTTTCTTGTTTGAGAAACACTTTACCAAGAGGTGAATTATTTTTACTTTCCTTAATAACTTCTTTGTTTTTACTTAAAAAAAAAAAAAAGAAAGTCACATTCACAGCAGCTATAGTAGATCATTGGGAGGCAAAATTTAATAGATGCTTCCTTTCATCAGTTTCCAAGAAACTCTGTAATACTTCATAAACTCAGTTGGGGAGTTAAATTGGATTTTCCTCAAAGTTCAAGTACTCTAATGTGTAGTCTAATGTGCTCTGTACTATATTCTACAAAGCTATTATTAAAATCAACAAATAAAATTAAAACTAAACATTTAACTAAGTCAGTATAGGCTAAAAAAAAATCTAGTTTTCTTAATTTTCCACTGTTTAACCAATAGATAAAGGAAAAGTGTGAATTCAGGTTACCTTGGTCTTATGATGAAAGCAATCGAGTCAACTTTGTTCATCTGGAGATCCCCTCTACTCTTTCCCGCTTTGCTCTCAACAGCTAAGTGACAACCAAAACCTTATAAAGAGTCCACTTGGGATAAGCATCTGACCCTGAGCACTTCCACCCTGGGAAAATGGGATGTCAGGGTTGAAATGGTCCTTAAGATGGTTTAGTTTCACTTCTTCATTTAAAGCAAATAAATGCAAAGATGAAATTCATTTCTCACATAGAAGCGTATACTAAAATAAGCAACGTACTAGCCTGGATACCAAGGTTCTTGTCTCACTAACCTAAAAAGGAGAAGGTTACATGATTTTTCCCTGGAAATTTTTTTCTACCCAAACATTTGTTCTTTCCTGGACACAGGGACAGGTAGCTACAGTCAGCTTTTAATCAGCAAAGTAGCTGGTTCTGCCTCTTATTCCTCCATTTTGCTGAACAGCTAAACTGGGGTACAGATATTTACATAAGAGCCATGGTGGGTACAGTAAGGACTGGACTTTGGTGTCCAAAACTTCAGACAAACACCAACTGTAAAAGTAAGCCAGGGACATCTTAGAACTCTAAAGTATACTCCACAGTGTTTACTATTTTTAAACTTTCTTCACATAAGCCTTTTCACATAAGTATAGGTGCATTTAATTGCATTTGCAACAAGTTTTTGTAAAGCTTGCAAGTAAGGAAAAAATACTTTTAAATAGAGGCTTACAGAATTAACCAAAAGATCTGGATGTGATGGCTCATGTCTAAAATGCCAGCTTTCAGGAAGTAGTAGCAGGAGGATCTCCAGATCAGGGCAGACCAAACTACATAGCAAGACTCTGTCAGACATGGCCCCAAAACCAACCCCATCAAATAACAACAAAAATTAACCAAAAGACTTAGCAATTTAAAATAATTTTCAAACATAAGTCTTGTGTGTGTGTGTGTGTGTGTGTGTGTGTGTGTGTGTTAGATGAGGTCTTTCTGTGTTGCCTAGTCCTGGACTCAAGTGATTTTCCTGTATCAGACTCCTGAGTTGATGTAACTACAGATGCAAGTCACCACATCTGGCTCAGATGGATTTCGTATGTGAGAAAATGGCAGAATGATTACTACTACCTTTTAAATGGTAGATTGATGGCCACAAAAGACTGAGTCAAGGAACTCAGATACCTTATTTTATCCATAAAACCTTTCTGTAGAAAACAATGCCTGTCATTGCTCAGAGGAATGGAGTTTGGGACAAATACATATAACTAATAAAATTTAAAAATATACCCAAGGTAGCTAGCATAGTGGCAATTACAAAATATGAGTGTTGCACACCGGTAAGGATTAGCTTTCTCTTTCCACCTTCTCCAGAAATACTGGATCCCAAACTTAGCCTACATTTACAGAAAAAGACTCACCAATTTGCCAAAATGCATTCAGTAAGGGGCTTGATTTATTTTAAAATCCAATGCCATACCCTCCATGGCTCAAAGCAACTGAGCATGACAAGAACTTTTATTTATAGGTGAGATAGAGCTGCCCAGCAGAGCCTACATCCAAGAAAACAGAACTGACAATAGGACTAAGGAAACTAACTTTCAAAGCACCCTACAGTTTTGAAAATAACATCCTTATTCAACTGTTATAGAAAGCTGGGACTTAGTCTATATTATTTAGTTGATAACTAGAGTAAAACAAATCATACTATTTTTTCAAATCTAGTAATATCATAAAGCAGATTTTAGAATATTTGCTACTTATAAGCAAACTAACTCCCCTCCTTCACCTTGTTTGAAAGGAAAACATCACCCAGGCATTTCAACAGACCCTCTTGCAAAACGTTTCTTACAAAACTTCAGAATTTTATCTATGCTATCATTTGTAGCTTAACTTTGAGAGGATCCTATAAACAACTCAGTATGGTGTAGCAGCTTAAAAAAAAAAAAAAACCAAGAAGAAAACATAGACATAGACCACAGGGGGGCAGGGGATACAGCTCAGTGATAAAGTGCTTGCCTGGTTGCTAGCATGCTTGAGGTCCTGGGTTTGATCCCCAGCAACACACACACACACACACACACAGAAAATAAAAAAGAAAATACCAAAGGGAATTGCACATAATATCTTGTGGATATTATCTCTCCATATAACATATATATGTGTGTGTATATATATATGTATGTATACACCCAATATACCATACACACACACGTATACATATGTATGTATGTATTGGGAGATGTTGTAATATGTACTTTTTATTGTGGGTTGTGGTCAAAAACAGCTTGAAAGTCACTCATCTAACCCAGCTGTCTGGATTACGTGTTTTTCCAAACAAAAGCACATTGTTCAGAGCAGGGTGCTTTAAAACAGAGATATAAAGGGAATGGAAACCAGCACTGCTTATGCTACATGAAAACCTTAATTGCACTACTGACCATTCGATATAAGCATAGCTCAGTCACTAGCAGCTAAGGCACAAGCCTGAAGCCAACTCCAAACAAGGAACACAACAAAAACTGGTACAGCAGGGAATCTGGTAAGTGGTTATCCCTGCCTGATCTGCCTGATGCTCGGAGTGCACATTCCACAGAGATTATTCCATATGGTCCCCAGGGCTTGCTTCCATGAAAAGAGGGAAAGAAATGGGCGTTTGCTTCTAAATCCTAATCCTGCAGATGCCTGAAACACACACAGTTCAGTAATTGCCAGCTCTTGGACCAAAGTCCAAATGTAACCATCAAAGTGAAACATTAAAAATCCACTCAAAAGCAACAGGGCGGAGCTCCTGCTTCCTGGAGAGAAAACAGTCTAGGCCCGAGGAAGGTCTACTGGTCGCCCCTAGGAGACTCCGCGTGGCTGGGTGGGCGATGTGAAAACACAGTGCAAGAAATTAAAAGGTTTCTTACATCCAAAGAAGCCAGGCAAGATGCCTAGGCTGAGGCTGTCCCTGGCCGCCGGGATAGGCTGCCTGTTTGTCCGAGGCCCTGCCCAAATGCCACGTTGAGATGCTCAAGGACAAATGGGAAAGTTTTTCCTATTCTCCCATCTTCCTGGGCCCCAACTACACCGTCTTGGGTCAGCCGGCAACTTTCCCCTCTCTCTCCTCTGTTTTGGCCACTGCCCCTCCTAATATCCACTTTGGTCATTAGCTCTCCCACCGGCCAGTCCTCCCCCTACCCCTGGTTCCGTGGCCCCCTCAGTCCCAACTCCCTTTCCTCATTTCCTCTTTTCACCCTGGCTGGCCATTCCTGGCTCTAGGCTGGTAATGGAGCATGGGGCGGGGGTCCGGGTGATCTGCTGGAGGAACGCAACCATCGGCGTCCCACCGAGGCTGTCCGGGCGCAGGCCCGCGCCGCCCTCGCCACCAGTTGCGTACAGGACAACACCCTTGTCGCGACATTCTGTCCCCCACTTCCCAGGCGGGGGCTGGAGCCGTGGCTTACGTGCAGTCTTGGTTGAAAGAGAAGCAGCTGAGTGCCGCCTCGACCCCTCCCGGGGGGGCATCCGCGGCCTCGGCCTCCATCGGGGAGGCTAGACCCGGGAAGCCGCAGCTCTGAGCCGGCGACAGCCACCTCAGCAGCTTGTCCTCCGCGGCTCCGCTGGCCGGGTCGTGGGCCCCTCCCCTTCTCCAGCCCCGCCCCACTCCTGCTTCGTCCCGCCTCTCGCCCCTCCCACTCGTCCCGTGGAAACAAGCAGCTGACAGGGCGGGGCCCACGCCGCCAGCCACTATTGGCCATGAGCCCATGCCGGGGCGGGTGAGTGCCGCCTCCTTAGCCAATCCGTGATGGCTGTGGGCGGACCCTCCCTGCTGGAGACCCGCCCCCGACTTCGCGACACAGCTCACTATTGGTCGAAGGCGCGTGAGACGAAGACTGTAGGCCACGTGGTAGTGTTTTCATTGCCAGAGCCGCCCAGCCCAGAGGTAGAAGGAAAGAACCCCTGCGGCTGGGGCTCGACCTACCCGCTGCAGTTCGGCGTCTGCGTCAGGGCCGCGGTGAAGGAGACGGGAGGACGCGCTTGTTCCTACCCCACCCAAACCCTTGGTCCTGTGTAACTCTGCCCATTAAACTTGCGGAATTTAATAGAGAGCGTTAGACGCCAAAGCCCCAGCCCTTTGTAGAGTCCTTAAGCTGCTTTGAAAAGGGTTCCCCAAAGGAGACTGCAACTGCCAGGCAGATAAGAAGTCACCTTATCCACTCTCTGCGGTTGACAACGCTTAACTAATGCCAACCGCTGTATTAACTATGCGTATTATCTGGTTGAGTTCTTATGGAACCTGGTGCTGAAAACATAATTGTACCCAATTTATTGAAGAAGCAATTGAAGCACTGACAGGGTAGACACTTTTAACATAGATGGCAGAATGTGTTTGTCTTCTTTCAAGGACTGTCAAAACTTTATTATGTGTTTAGCAAGATCTATTTGATTTTTAGTTGCAAAAAATGAAAGAAAATGTATGAAAAGGATAAAGTCTTTCCAATTCGAAGCTCTCATAATTTAAGATGAATGCTGCCGAAGGCTCTTTCTTCCCTAAGCTAAATACGTATTGCTATATAGAATTACCATCAAGACAGTCTGTGGCTCAAACAAAGAGCTCTGCCAGTTCTGGATTTATATAATTCCTGGACAATTTTTAGTTCATGTCTTTTCATATTTTGAAAGAAAATAATATTTTAATTATTGTTATTCCACAGCATTTTAGATTGGCATAATTCAAATTTATCCAATTTATGGCAAAACTATATATATATTATGTGTGTGTATATATACATGTATATACATATATACACACACATGAATGGATGAGCAAAGAGTGGTATTTTACTTAAGCTTTCCTGGTTGGATTTCCTGTTTGGGATTTCTGAAATGCAAATATAACTGTTTCTTTTCTTGGTTTCATTCTTTCTCTTCCTTGTTTTGAAGTAGTTCAAGCCAGTGTGGTGGCCCATACATGTAATTTCACGATTTGAGAGGCAGAGATGGGAGGATGGTGAGTCAAGGCCAGCTTGGACAAAGAGACTTGATCTCAACCAATGAAAACTAGGCATGGCATGGTGGAACACACCTGCCATCCCAGCTAGGCAGGAAGTGTAAAAAGGAGACTCGAAGTACAGGAGGGCCAAGGCATGAACATGACAATCTATTTGATAACCAAGGCAAAAAAGGCTAGAGGTGTGGCTCAAGTGGTATAGCAAGTGCAAGGCCCTGAGTTCAAACCCCCATACCACCAAAGGGGAAAAAATGTTGAATTTGTAATTCACTGATGGCAATTGCTCTTTAGCTTATTGTGAGGTGTTGCATAAACCAACCTAAGTCAAGAGAACTGCTGTTTGGATGCTTTAATCTTTCAGATCATTTCAGATCCTTTCAGATCAAAGGCACATTCCTCCCACCCTGCTCAGCCAAATGCTGAGGTCCTTTCTGTTCCATTGAGAAAACCAAGAGTCTGTCAAGCCAGGTGCTAGGTTCTTAGGAGAACTATAAGAAGTACAGTAAGGTCTTTAAAGTGGAAGCTTTTGTCATCTTGTTATTAAGTGTTGCATCTTTATGGGGGTGGGGACAGGAGCTGGTGTTAGTTCTTGAGCAGAAGTATTCTGTGATAAAAGCAGTGTCTTAGCAGATAAACTCAGGCGGGTATAGAGAACAAATTAGCAGTGGGGAAGGTCTAGAATTCTCACTAATGTGACATTCTGGGAGTGACAGAACTAGACCAATGTGATGACAGCAAGGCCAGAAAGATTAGAACACATCCAAGAGATGTTTTGAGGCAGTACAGAAAGATAACGTGACAAATATGAGCTACATATGTAACCTTAAATTTTCTAGAAGTTATATTTTAAAAAGATAAAAGTAAATAGACATTTAACATTATATTTGATTTAACCCAAAATTTCAAAAATACCATTTTAATAGTCAATGTAAAATTATTAATCAGTTAATTTAGATTTTAACCTTTATTTTTTAGAACTATAAGTGATTAAATCTCTTGTTTGTTTGTTTGTTTTTCTTCCACTTCCAACACATCAGTTTCCCTAACCCATATTTTAAGTGCTTATGTGGCTGGTGGCTACCTTTTTGCTCAGTGGGATTTTTAAGGGAATAAATGGCAGGACATGGTGACTGTTGGGGAAAAGGGAGCCTAAGTGAGGAAGAGGGAGGAGTCAAAGCCGATTGCACTATGAGGAAAGAGGAAGTCCCTGGTGCTGCTTTAGACACCAGGTCTTTGGACATGTATTTAGGAATATGTGTTTAATTTCAACATGCAGTAAACAGTAAGAACTGAATGTTAAAGGTTAAGCCTAGAGATGTAGGCAGGGGAGAAAACCTGTCACCTTCCCAGCCTCGCCCTACCTGTGAATGACCCCCTATTGTTGCCTGCTGTGTCAATGGTCCAGGTCTACCTCCACTCATGTGGGAATAACATCCCAGGTTTTATTTTTTCCAAGACAATACATAAATCTGTATTTTATAAATGCTACATTTATAGAAATTAATGTTTATTCTACATAAACCTATATATATATATATATATATAATTTCTATGTAAGTTTCGAAAAATGTTGAAAATGAATTCTTATTTTCAAACACACCATGTGGGCCAAACTAAATACATCAGCTGGCTGGATGTGGTTTGTGGAGGGCCAGTTTGTGACCTCTGTTAGACACATAAGCAGCCAGCTTGAGGGAACTCCACCTTTAAAAAAATTCTCAGAAGTCTATTTATATAAAAAGTCAAGGAAATGATTATATATATATAAATGCAGAGGTGCTGAATTCATGGGGTGTCAGCCTGGTTTTCTTTTTTTAAGCTCTGCCTCTAGATTCTGTGGGAAGGGACACTACTGGTTTGAATGTGGAGCTCGTAGCATCCTAATCCACGTTTTTTTACAGCAGCAAGTTCACTACTCAGTAACAGCAGCAAAGGATCTCAGAGGAGAAAAACACAACTTTGCTTCAAAGGGAATAAGCATTCAATCTTTTCTCCTTCTTCCAATTGAAACTCCTAAATGTCTCTTTTCCCTGTAAAAAAAAAAAAGCCCATTTATATATAGGGAAATGGGAAGTCACCAAATTCTGGGAAAATAAAGCCAGGCTCTGAGAATTAATTATCTTTGGTAATACAAAATTGTAGGCCACAACTCAGCTAATGGGAAGACTTCCTATTTGGATAACAATCAGGTTGTAATTTTAAGATGCTGATTAGGGCCTGCATAGGGCATAAACAGGGGAAGTTGGAAATGAGACATCCTGTCTGACGCAACTCTCTTGTCACCCAATATGGTGGCCCATGACACCCAGCCGTCTATAATTAGAGTAACTACTAGGTGAACAAATGCCACTCCTGTCTTCTTTTTTATAAAATCCATTCTGTTTTTATAAAACCAAGTCACAGGAAATAATTTCCTTTTTCTTTTCTGCTGTGTGTTAACACCCAGACTATGACCTGAAAAGGAACTGTAATGGACCAGTAGCACTCAGAGAAAGGGAGATGGAAAGAAACATTTGGTTTCTCGTCTCCAGGCCTGGAGAAGATGGGGATGGAGAGGGCTGGGTAGTGTGTCACAACATGAAGAAAGCCAAAGGAGTCAGGGCAAATTCCAGAGTAGGAAGGGAAGGGTTGAGATGTAGGGTGATTTCTGGGAAAGGAGATGATTTGACTTGATTAACAAACAGGAAGTCCCTGGCATGGTTGAGCAAGAGGCACAAGTGGACTTTTTTGTGTTTCTTATTATAGGCACAGTCCGTGTAAGGTGGCATGGCTACAGTGAATGATCACTCCCTGTGATGAGCCCTTGTTCCCCAAATGGAACCATTCCTTCTGGGTTTATTGATTAAAAATGAATGGAGCAGGAAGCAAAACCAAGGGTAAGAAACAATGGTATTTCACTAGAGTGAATTGGTGTCTTCCTCCTCAGTCTCTCCTCTCATCTGTCTTATCTGTTTCCACAGTGTGCTTCCTACAACACCAAAGGAAATCACAAAATCTCAATAAATACTTTGTGGCCAGCTAATGCTCATTCATGAAAACAGTAGCTTTCTTTTCCCAACATACTTTGGGTTAAAGGCCTATTACCTAAGACGATGTAGAGAGGGTCAGTTGTGGAGGTTTTGTTCACTGGGATCTCACCAAACCAAGCAAGAATACAGAGAAGGGTAAACAGGTCACCCAATGACCCTGACATATTTTAAAGTTTAATTATAGGTGAGACCAGGAGATGGAAAACAAGGCTTTATAGAAAGACTGGCTTGGAGCCTCAGGCATATTTGCATTTAATACTCAATATATCTGTCTTGTCCAGTAGTGTGTTTTGGGAGGAGGGTGTTGGTACTGGGTTTTGAACTCAGGACTGCTCTCTACCACTTGAGCCATGCTTCCAGCCCATTTTGCTTCTTAGGTTATTTATTTATTTATTTATTTATTTATTTATTTATTTATTTTAGATAGAGTCTCATGTTTTTGCCCAGGCAGGCCTGGGACTCAATCCTCCTACCTATACCTTCTGCATAGCTGGGATGACAGGTGTGTCCCACCATGTCTGATTTATTGGTTGAGATGGGGTTTCCTAGGTATCCTTGGATCACTGTTCTTCCAATCTCTATCTTCTGAGTAGCTGGGATTACAGATGCTCAGGAGTGTTAGTCCTCATCATGCAGCTGTGTAAACCAAGATGAGGGATGTTGGGTGGTTGCTAGGATGGTTTGTGATGGAGATTGCATTCCTTCCCTTCCTCTGGGTTCCCAGGC